AGAAAATGTATATTATATAGGGAGCACTTGTTAGAGCCGAACCTCTGTAGCTGTAGGCTAAAGGTGCCAGATGAATTTCAGGGATGGATGGGAGCCTCACTGCATGGTCCTGTCATGCAGCCCATCAGTGGACCTGTCATGCAGCCCATCAGTGGTCCTGTCATGCAGCCCATCAGTGGTCCTGTCATGCAGCCCATCAGTGGTCCTGTCAGTGCATTCACCAGTGCAGCCCATCAGTGTACCTGTCACCACAACCATCAGTGCAACCTAATTAGTGTATCCATCACAGAGTCGACATCACTGCCGCCCATCATCAGTGTACCCATCATAGCCACCCATCAGCAGTTTATCCGTCATACAGCCACAATCAGCAGAGCCGCAATGTCCAAAAAATATTTTACTAGTGGGGAGGCATATAAACTTCTCAGTATGATGGATGAGAGCAGTGGGGAGCTCTCACCTTCCGATTTGGAATACAAGCCAGTAGAAAGTAGTGGGTCAGTGACTGAATTGGAGGAGGTAGCAGTCCCTCCTAAAAGGATAAGGCGCTCTGAAGAGCAGGCAACCACAAGCAGTGCCATACACTCCCCAATGGTCAATCAGCGAACACCAATGGCGCTTGACCCCAGGATGAAAGGCCCAGTACCAGCACTTGAATATCCCACCAGACCCCAAGAATTAGGGCCCAAACATATCTTCCTGATGCCCTAGCAAACCCATTATGGCTGCCTTCCAGTTCAGGGTCAGCTTTAATCCTCCCTTTCACCGCACAGCCAGGTGTGCAGACCAATACTGAAAATTTTTCTGAAACTGATTTTCTTTTATTTGTTTTTTCCTGCCAATTTACTTCAAAACATTGTGGACCAGACAAGCCTTTTTTCCCAGCAATATATTGATAGCAATCCCAATACATCCTATGCCTGTTCTTTTCAATGGAGACATCTCCCAGTGGAGGAGTTAAAATTGTTTTTGGGCCTTACATTTAACATGGGCCTTACAAAAACAAAATGAATTACATGCCTACTGGTCCCACAACCCTATCCATCATATGCCCATTTATTGTGCTGTAATGTTCAGGTCATGCTATGATCTGATCATGCGATTCCTGCATCTCAGTGATAACTCACAGTGCCCTCCCCAAGATCATCCCAACTATGACAAACTATAAAAAAATCCGCCTCTTAATATATTCTTTTGCTAAGAATTTTGTGGAACTTTATGTCCCTGAGCAACACATTTGTGTGGATGAATCCCTTGCCCACTTCACTGGCCAGCTGGGTTTCAAGCAATACATTCCCTGTAAAAGGGCCAGGTATGGATTGAATCTGAACAAGTTCTGTGAAAGAACTACAGGATATGTGAATACCTTCTGTGTGTACGAAGGCAAAGAATCTCAGCTCCAGCCCCTTGAGTGCCCAATCTACATTGGCACAAGTGGTAAAACTGTATGGGAACTGGCATTCCCACTGTTCCAAAAATGTTATCATATCTACCTTTATAACTACTATACAAGTCTGCCCCTTTTCCGGCACCTGTACCGTAAGAAAACCTTGGCCTGCAGTACAACCCGAAAAAACAGAAAGGGCTCCCCACAAAGTTAAGTAACCACAAGGCTACAAAAGGGGGAATCAGCAAGTCTGAGATAAGATGAAGTGTTGCCCGTGGAGGGATAAGAAAGATGTGTACATTCTGTCCGCCATCCACGACACCTCGGTGGAAATTCACAGAAGATGCGGTCTCATCCAAAAACCTGAATGTATCCACGATTATAATCGTTTCATGGATTTAAATGATCAGATGCTACAGCCCTATTTATCAACAAGAAGGTCCCTTTTCTGGTATTAAAAAGTTTTAATTTATTTTTTCCATTTGTCCATTTACAATGTGTTTGTCATCTATCAAAAGTCAACAGAAAGACCCACCACCTTCCTCAAATATATGGAAGAAATCATCACTGCCCTGATCTATCAGCAAGGATTCCCCCCCAGAAAACATTTTCTCTAATTGTGTAAACAGACTTTGCGAGCACATTCCACCCACAGAATCAGGAAGAAAACAGAAAAAAAAACACTTTCAGGTATGCAGCCGAGGAGGAGTTAGGAGAGACACCAGTGTCCTCAATGTCTCTCCCAACCGGGCCTATGCATTAGAGACTGCTTCCGACATTATCACGTCACTAAAATATTGGTCCCCCTTATTTTTAACAGCCTGCCATTTCCCAGTTTCTGTGCTGATCATTTACCCACTGTCTTGATTGATCATGCCTCTGCCTTCCATGTTAACTGACTATGATCTGTTTACCAACTATGCCTCTGCCTGCAGTCTGGATTGTTTCTAAACCACTTTTCTGCCTTCCATCTGAACTGACTCTGGCCTGTTTACCGGAAATGCTTTTGCCTGCCGTCTGGATTGTTTCTAAACCAAGTTTCTGCCTTGACCTCAGCCTGTTAATTGACCATGTTTTTTGCCTGCCACGTGAACTGATCTTTTTCTCAGCTACTTTAGTAGTAGGATGCAAGATAACACAGGGGTCTCACATATGTGAAGGGTTTCAGAGTAGAGAAAAAGAGTTTTTGGTTTTCACTGGGTTTTGTAATTCCCGGATCAGGGTCTGTTAGCCCAGAGGCTTCGAAGAGATTGGGTGGGACAAAGCCTCTACCCCTGTGACCAGGTCTTACCTGACCGAGGCCCTAAACCTGATGTTCCTTTCTGATGCTTGGACTAATACTTTGGCTGTGCTCACCATATCTCTGCCTGCTGCCTGTAATGACCCAGGACTTTTTATGGACCATGTTCCTGCCTGCTGCCTGAACCAGTACATTGGCTGTGCTGACCATATCTCTGTCTGCTACCTGTAATGACCTAGTACTTTTTTGGACTATGTTCCTGTTTGCAGCCACATTTGACAGGTACATCTGACAGCCATAGTTTGGCTGTTGCTGACCACATATGTGCCTGCTTCCTGGAACAGTGCTCTCCTCTGCAGGCAACTGCTCTACTATATCCACAGGTAATCTTTTGTTTACCCTTTGTTTAGCTAGGCTGTGGAAAAGTCTCATGCATGTGTTATCGCCATAGTCACGAGAAGTAGCAGAATGTATTTTGGGGTGTAATTCTTGCTATGTCCATGCTGTGTTTTAGAAATATCTTATAAATTGACAACTTTGTGTAAAAAAATAAATTTTCATTTTCTGTCCACATTTTTCAAAAACTTGTGGAAAAAAATTACACGTTCAAAAAGACTCATTATGCCTCATAAAATATACGTTGGGGTGTTTGCTTTCCAAAATCAGGTAATTCCATTGTCCTGGTGTTCCAGGACCTTCAAATGTGATAGGTAGTCAGGAAATTAGATGTGTAATTAATGCCCCTAGAACACTTGAAGTTGCTACTTGGATGTTTGGCCCCTGTATGTGGCCAGGCTGTGTAAAATTCTCACACATGTGGTATCGTCATATTCAGGAAGAGTAGCAGAATGTATTTTGGGGTGTAATTCTTGATATGTACATGCAATGTGTTAAAAAAATATCTTAGAAATTGACACCTTTGTGTAAAAAAAAAAAAAATACGTTTTCATTTTCTTTACACATTTTTCAAAAAAATTACACAATCAAAAGACTCATTATGCCTCATAGAATATACGTTAGAGTATTTGTTTTCCAAAATTGAGTCATTTTGTGGGTAATTCCATTGTCTTTGTGCTCCAGGGCCTTCAAACATATCATAGGTAGTCAGGAATTAAATGTGTAATTTATGCCCCTAGAACACCTGAAGGTGCTACTTAGATGTTTGGTCTTTGTATGTGGCCAGGCTGTGTAAAAGTCTTAAACATGTGGTATCGCCCATACTCACGACAAGCAGCAGCAAAATGTGTTTTGGGGTGTAATTTCTTCATTTTCCCAAGAATTGTGGGAAAAAAATGACAACTTAAAAAAACTCACCATGCATCTTACTAAATACCTTGGCCTGTTTACTTTCCAAAAAGGGGTCATTTTGGAGATATTTGTACTTTCCTTGCATGTCAGGGCCTCAAGTAATGAGTCGTCAGCGCATCAGGTGTGATCAATTTTGAATGATTGGTACCATAGCTTGTAGTTTGTATACTTTCATTTTCACACAGACTAAATAATATGTCCTGCTTTGGGTTATTTTTACCAAAGAAATGTAGCAGTATAATTTTTGACCTACATTTATGAAGAAAAATTACCTATTTGAAAAATTTTTTTTAACTAAAAACTAAAAAAAAAAAAACTTTTTTTTTTTTTTTTTAATTTTCTCTCTTTTTTCATTTATATCACAAAAAATAAAAAAACCCAGTGTTGTTTAAATACCAAACCTCTATCTGTGTGAAAAAAAAAATGATAAATGTTTTGTTGAGCTACAGTGTAGCATGACTAATTGTCATTCAAAGCACTGAAAGCTGAAAATTGATCTGGGCAGGAAGGGGGTAAAAGTGCCCTGTATTGAAGTGGTTAAAAAATATATTGATACAAAATCTATATGCATTACAGCTCTGTTTGTACATTAAAATGCTGTCCTCCATTTTTCAAAATGATCCTTACCTTTGACAATAATTCTACTGTGGGCTCCCCCTCTCCATCTTGCTGTTAGGTGTGCACGGACAAGTACACAGCTATTAGAACACGGCTTTTCTAACCACACATATGCTCTGTACTCTCTCTTACTAGCAGAATGCTGAGTTCAGCTGCTAAAGCATGAGAGAGCGAGCAGCGCATGTGTGGTTAGGCAAGTCAAGTCTTTGTAGCGGAATCTGTTAGTCAGGTGTTTAGGTCACACACCCAATAGTTGGTCTGTCTTGCCATCTAGGCAGGACAGAGAGAGGGAGCCCACAGTAGAAGCAGCGACAAAAATAAGGATGATTTTTAATAACAGGAAAGCATTTTAAAGTGCAGACAAATCGGTAACACAGTTTTTCAGTTCCATATACTGACCTCACAACTGGTATCAGGTCAAGTTACATTGGTTATATTTTCACATACCTTGAAAATGATCTTTTTAATCCAAGGTTTGTCAGCTAAGAAATCCATCATGGAAAATCCAGGGTTCAGTCTCACTGCAGACATGGCCACCCAATACCCTCCTGTACTACTAAGGCGAATATTATCTGGGAATCCAGGCATGTTGTCCACAAATGTATCTACACCACCTTTGGTGAGCCCAGAAACATAATACCTACACAAACAAAAACAACAAAGGAAATCCACGCTAATAAAATCTAAACAAACTAGATTTCAGCAGCTGGCATTCAGGATTTATATATAATTCTGCATAAACATAAACATCAGCACTAAATAGAATGCATAACATAGACAACATAAAAACAAATTGTGCAAAACTAATAAAAGTCTAAGTTACTCTAATTTGTCTAAAGAAGTCAAAGTATTACACCTGTGTGCTTCAACACCATTCAGCAGTGAGCTTCATATGCAAGCTCATCACTGACAAGTAAAAGGCTTCCCAGAGTAAAAACCTCACATACAGAGGTACATTGCACTCAGCATGTATTAGCCTGGGGCCATATCAGGGTACTTCTTCTCTCCATTTTTCAGCCAGGACACAGAAAAAAAAAAAAAAGGAACAGCATCTGACAAGCGGATTTTAAAAGCACCAGCATATCTTGGCTAGGACACCCTTGATCCTTTCATCAATATCAGACATCCCAAATATAACACATATCATAATGGGCAAAAGAAATCTGTGTAAAGACATAAAACCAAGTATAAATACAAGCTGGCAAAAAGAGACTTATATAGAAGCTGCTGCTCCCCAGGAGACAGCAATCATAGATGTCAGTGAGCACAGCAGCCTATACACAGTATGTTTTGCCCAATACGACACAAAAAAGATTTCCAAACTGTCACAACGCCTGAAGACATCTTATTGGACAACATTTTCGTGTGTAGTCTGATGTCTATAGCTGCTGTCTCCTGGTGAGCAGCAGCTTCTAGTTAAGTGTTTTTTTGCCAGCTTTTTTTCATACTTGATTTTATGTCTTTGCACCAGTAAACGTTGGGGTTTACTACACGATGCGTTTTCTCTTGCCCTTATATGTATTATAATCGGGGATGTCCGATACGGATGAGAGGAACAGGGGTGTCACAGCCAAGATGTGCTCATGCTTGTGAGATATGCTCATTAGATTCTATGGGGTTGATTTACTAAAAGCAAATAGACTATGCAAGAGCAGTTGCTTCAGAGCTTAGCAAATAGGTAGAAGCTCTACTGACTTCCATAATCCAATCATGTGCAAGCAAAATGCAGTTTTCTTCATTTTTTTTGCAGGTGATTGGGTATTCTTTGCAAAGTGCAGCTTATCCTCATTTACTAAGTTCTGGAGCAACTGCACTTTGCAAAGTGAAGAGTCTATTTGCCTTCGGTAAATCAACCCCAAAATCTTTATCTATATTCTAGCTGATAAAGTGAGAGGAAAAGTACCTTGATACAGTCCCAAGCTGATACATGCTGAGTGCAATATATCTTTGTATGTGAGATTTTTACTCTGGTAAGCCTTTTAAATGTCAACAATGGACTTGCACATTAGGATCATTGCTACATGGTGTTGAAGCACGAGGGTTTTATACCTGGAGTTTATTAGACAAGCTAGAGTAACCTGGCCTTTTATTAGTCTTGAACAATTTTTTATGTTGTTAATGTTACTATTGTGAAAGTGCTCCATTACATTTACTGGGAATACATAAAACATATTTAGGATTTTTTTTATTTTTTATATAAAAACGGTATTTAAGTAATTAAACAATTATTAAAGTGTTTGTAAAAGCTCAAGGTTTTTTACCTTCATGCATTCTATACATGTAGGTAAAAAACCTTCTGTGTGCAGAAGCCTCCCCAGCCCCCTAATGCTTACCAGTGCCCCATCATGATCCAGTGATGCGCACGAGTGCCTCGACTCTCCGCGGACTCTCACTCCTTACTGGCTGAGACAGTAGCAGGAGCACTGTCACAGCCAGTGAGCCAATGGAGAGAGAGAAGGGTGGGGCCGAGCTGCAGAGCATGTGTGAATGGACATGCAGATTAGTGGCTCGGGAGCAAGCCTGCTTGGGTGCCCCCACAGCAAGCTGCTTGCTCTTAGGGGCACTTGGCAGGAGGGAGAGGCCAGGAATGCCTGCAGGGAACTCGAGAAGATTGGGACTGCTCTGTGCAAAACAACAGCACACAGCAGGTAAGTATGACATGTTTGTTATTCTTGAAAAAAAAATATAATAATTATATATACATACATACATACATACATACACATACATACATACACACACACACATACATACATATACACATACATACATATACATACATACAGCTGAAACTCGAAAAATTAGAATATTGTGCAAAAGTTCATTTATTTCAGTAATGCAACTTAAAAGGTGAAACGAATATATGAGATAGACTCATTACATGCAAAGCAAGATAGTTCAAGCTGTGATTTGTCATAATTGTGATGATTATGGCTTACAGCTCATGAAAACCCCAAATCCACAATCTCAGAAAATGAGAATATTACATGCAATCAATAAAACAAGAATTGTACATAGAACAATATCGGACCTCTGAAAAGTATAAGCATGCATATGTACTCAGTACTTGGTTTGGGCCCCTTTTGCAACAATTACTGCCTCAATGCGGTGTGGCATGGAAGCTATCAGCCTGTGGCAATGCTGAGGTGTTACAGAAGACCAGGATGCTTCAATAGCGGCCTTCAGCTCTTCTGCATTGTTCGGTCTCATGTCTCTCATCTTTCTCTTGGCAATGCCCCATAGATTCTCTATGGGGTTCAGGTTAGGAGAGTTTGCTGGCCAATCAAGCACAGTAATCCCACAGTCATGGAACCAGGTTTTGGTGCTTTTGGCAGTGTGGACAGGTGCCAAGTCCTGCTGGAAAATGAAGTCAGCATCCCCATAAAGCTTGTCTGTGAAAGGAAGCATGAAGTGCTCCAAAATCTCCTGGTAGACAACTGCGTTGACCCTGGACTTAATGAAGCACAGTGGACCAACACCAGCAGATGACATGGCTCCCCAAATCAACACAGACTGTGGAAACTTCACACTGGACTTCAAGCATATTGCAGTGTGTGCCTCTCCATTTTTCCTCCATACTCTGGGTCCTTGGTTTCCAAATGAAATTCAAAAGTTGCTCTCATCAGAAAAGAGGACTTTGGACCACTGAGCAACAGACCAGGTCTGTTTTTCTTTAGCCCAGGTAAGACGCTTCTGATGTTGTTTGTTGTTCAGGAGTGGATTGACAAGAGGAATACGACATTTGAAGCCCATGTCCAGGATCAGTCTGTGTGTGGTGGCTCTTGATGCACTGACTCCAGCCTCAGTCCACTCCTTGTGAAAGTCCCCAACACTTTTGAATGGCCTTTTCCTGACAATCCTCTCCAGGCTGCGGTCATCCCTGCTGCTTGTGCACCTTTTTCTTCCACACTTTTCCCTTCCAAATAACTTTCTATTAATGTGCTTTGATACAGCACTTTGGGAACATCCAACTTCTTTTGCAATTACCTTTTGAGGCTTTCCCTCCTTATGGAGGGTGTCAATGATGGTTTTCTGCACAACTGTCAGGTCAGCAGTTTTTCCCATGATTGTGATTCCTAATGGACCAGACAGCGACCAATTAAAGGCTGACGAACCCTTTGCAGGTGTTATGGCTTAATTAGCTGATTAGAGTGGGACACTTTGAGCCTAGAATATTGCACCTTTTCACAATATTCTAATTTTCTGAGATTGTGGATTTGGGGTTTTCATGAGCTGTAAGCCATAATCATCACAATTATGACAAATCACGGCTTGAACTATCTTGCTTTGTATGTAATGTCTATCACATATATTAGTTTCACCTTTTAAGTTGTATTACTGAAATAAATGAGCTTTTGCGTGATATTCTAATTTTTCGAGTTTCACGTACGTACGTGTATATATATATATATATATATATATATATATATATATATATATATACACATACATACATACATACACACACGCATACATTTACACATATACACATACACACACGAAGTGGTATAGTGTAGTACTGTATAGTGTAAGCTTGAGTTAACAGGCATTTGTTCACATCAGAACGGATTGTCTCCCCATAAAAATCAATAGGAAGAGTCTTAAACGGATGTCAAATGCAAGCTGAATGCACCTGAAAGCAAGCTGCATTTTGCCCTTGAAACAAGCCATAATGCTGGACTCAAACTTAAGTGATCCATTGCAGTGTGTTAACACAAGTTCTGGTAAGGCAGCCCTGTTATTATGAATAGGCTCTTAATGCACCATCATGAACAAAAAAAAATGTACATACCCATTCTTCAGCAATGCAGTGCACTACAACACACAGTGTACTGTAGGGCTTTCTGCCCTACTGTATAATGCATTGGGTTGCCATTCACAACAAATGACACTGCACAACACATGGGTAGGTGCATTGCCATGCGTTGTGGTAAACAGATGTTAACACATGCTTTTGCTGCAGAGCCTTAAAGTGTACCAAAGCTCAGAAACCAAGTGCCATCCAATTATCCAAGCACTGCTAGGGTGCAGTAAATAACGGTATCGCAGAAGAAGCACGCTTGTTGATATTTCTGTCCATGTGTTAAATCTTTATAGATTTATAGAGTTAGGACCACAGAAATTTAGGGTGACATGATGTGGCTATGTGGCTTACTGTCCTACAGAGACCAAAGCAACCTTTGCTGTTCACATGAAGGTAGTGGGAGACTGGACAGAAAGATTGTGCAGCCTGCTGACATCACGGTGCAGTCAAGGTTCAGAAATTCTTCCAATTTTCCAGCAGAGAAAAAAAACAAAAATTTACATTGATGGTCCCTTTGGAAGCCCTTCAGAAGAAGCCTTCAACTAAAAGGTCAGCCTCTGTGTCGCTGGAGGCATCAGTGTCACTCCATTTGCATCAATACTTAACCAGTTACTGAGGATGTGTATGTTTTTGAATGAGATATTGGCACTTACCCCTACCCTATCTGGAGAGGAGCCACTACCAGAGTGCTAACCCCCTGAGAGGGAGATTTGTTTGCGGTGAGAGCAGACCAGTGGAGAGGCTGCATACTTGAAGGATCTGAGGGTGTGATCCCACAAAACGCTTTGACCCTCAAAGGTCGAAGCTTTGCGGTGAGAGGCTAATCTAGCCGGTGGTTGGATTGTTCTTTGACAGCAGTTACCCACTATCACTTGTTATCAGCACGAGTGTCATCTTGAATTGGATAAAGTGATATTATCCACATCGTATTGGACTTTTTGAGCACGGATCAGACGTTGTAGTTTGATCTAATTTGTGTATTGTTGCACAGTATTTGCACGAATATTGGACACTGTTTTTTTTTTGTTTTATGTATTTTCATTACACTGATTTGAGATATTTATACATATTGTACCTTATTGGGGGTACACGTTCTTTGTTATATTTTGTGGCACTTTTAGATATTTATTGTATATATATATATATATATATATATATATATATATATATATATGCACTAGGTCTTTGCATGTTTATGCTTTTTATTGAGTTTGCAGTGGTTTAGACCTATTCTTGTTTTTTCTAGACTATTATTCACCATCACTTTTTGGTTCAGCTGTAAAACACAATATTTGTGGTATTACATAACGTGTCACATTGCATGATTGTGTATTATCTCACAGGTAATTTCATCTATTAATATTTTTATTGTGGCACTTAGTGAGCATTCTTTTAGTTTATTTCACATGTTTTTCATTTTACACAGTGTGTCACTATTCACATGTGTATTTTATTTGTTTAATTTATATGTATTTATGTGAGTAGCGCTACATTTTTATATTTATTTAAATATCTCCTAAATGTGCACCCTTTAGGAGATATTCTCGTGAGCAGCAGCGACAGAGCATGCGTTCTGAAGGAACAGCATTTCCAAGCTGTTTCTTCAGAGCTGTAGGCCGTGGCCGTAGCTCCCACACCCATGTGCGGGGTTGACGTAATCGCGGCTTCGACTATTCAAGTGGCTGCAACCCAGGAACCCGAAAGGAGACTGGGTAAAGATGAAAACCGCTGCAGCGGTGACGCCATTGGAGGGCTTCGCTCTTGGGTAAGTATTCAGAATGTGCTAGTATGTGATGCATACTAACACGTTGTGACATTACCTTGCAGGGGAAAATCTTTTTTTTTTTAGGGTAAAGTATGTACATAATATAAAGCATGTTTCTACTTCCTCTGCTCTTACTATCGATTACTATTAATATCTCCCTGTATTTGGCATACAGTGAAGGAAATAAGTATTTGATCTCCTGCTGATTTTGAATGTTTGCCCACTCACAAAGAAATGATCAGTCTAAAAATCAAATGGTAGGTGTATTGTAACACAGAGACAGAATAGCAACAAAAAATTCAAACGAAATGCATGTCTAACAAATTATGTACTGATTTGCATGTTCATGAGGGAAATAAGTATTTGATCCTCTACCATTTAGCAGGAGTTCTGGCTACCAGGTGCTTTCATACAGGTAACAAGCTGAGATTGGAAGCAGTCTCTTAAAGGGAGTACTGCTAATCTCATTTTATTACCTGTATAAAAGACAACTGTCCACAGGAGCAATCAAACAATCAGATTCCAAAGTCTCCACCATGGCAAAGACCAAAGAGCTGTCCAAGGATGTCAGGGACAAGATTGTAGACCTACACAAGGCTGGACTGGGCTACCAAACTATTGCCAAGCAGCTTGGTGAGAAGGTGACAACAGTTGGTGAAATGGAAGAAACACAAAACAACTGTCAGTCTTGCTAGGTCTGGTGCACCATGCAAGATCTTGTGGAGTGTCAATGATCATGAAAACAGTGAGCAATCATCCCAGAACTACATGTGAGGATCTTGTCAATGATCTCCAGGCAGCTGGGACCAAAGTCACCAAGAAAACAATTAGTGACACACTACACCAAAGAGGACTGAAATCCTGCAGTGCCCGCAAGGTCCCTCTGCTCAAGAAAGCTCATGTCCAGGCCCGCCTGAAGTTTGCCACTGAACATCTCAATGATGCAGAGGAGGACTGGTTGAAAGTGTTGTGGTCAGATCAGACCAACGTTGCACTCTTTCGCATCAACTCAATTCGCCATGTTTTAAGGAGGAATGCTGCCTATGACCCCAAGAACACCATCCCAACTGTCAAACATGGTGGTGGAAACATTCTGCTTTGGGGGTGTTTTTCTGCTAAGGGGACAGGACAACTGCACCACATCAAAGGGACGATGGACGAGGCAATTTACTGTCAAATCTTGGGTGAGAACCTTCTTCCCTGAGCCAGGGCATTGAAAATGGGTCGTGGATGGGTGTTCCAGCATGAAATTGACCCAAAACACACAGCCAAGGCAACAAAGGAGTGGCTCAGGAAGAAGCACATTAAGGTCCTGGAGTGGCCTAGCCAGTTTCCTGACCTTAATCCGATTAAAAATCTGTGGAGGGAGCTGAAAGTTTGAGTTGCCAAACGTCAGCGACCAAACCTTAATGACTTGGAGAGGATCTGCCAAGAGGAGTGGGCCAAAATCCCTCCTAAGATGTGTGCAAACCTGGTGGTCAACTACAGGAAACGTCTGACCTCTGTGATTGCCAACAAGGGATTTGCCATCAAGTACTAAGTCAAGTTTTGTGAAAATGATCAAATACTTATTTCCCTCATGAACATGCAAATCAGTGCATAATTTGTTAGACATGTATTTATTTTGAATTTGTTATTGCTATTCTGTCCCTCAGTGTTACAATACACCTACTATTCGATTTTTAGACTGATCATTTCTTTGTGAGTGGGCAAACATTCAAAATCAGCAGGATATCAAATACTTACTTCTTTCACTGTATGTTACAGTAGGAAACATGCTTTGCTCTCATAGGAGTTTCACACTAACCATATAAACAGTTTTGTTCTACTTCTAGTGCAGGTTTTTGGCAAGGGAATAGATGGCATCATGTGCTCAAAACAACATACCTCCTCACACGTGCCATAGTGGTTTCAGCAACAAGTACAAAATCCTCTGCAGGAGAAAGCTGAACGCCATTGGGAAACCGCAATCCAGCCATTAAAACTTTTACTTCCTTTGTCACGGTGTCAAACTCTAGCAAGCTGAAAATGACAAGCAATTATAGGATTATACTAATCTCCACGCTGTCATGTACATGAATGGACAAGCTTCATCGCTGTCAAAAGAACACCCATATTAACAGCCCTTATTTTAGCAAAACACAATTGGGCATAATGTATTTTAAGCTGTATGACATTCTTAACAATTGCAAAGCATACTTAAACTTACTATATGCAACTTATTTCAAAATGGAGCAACATGCAATGACAATAGGATCACAGCTATGATAAATAAATGAAACTTTCAATTAGGCTTCACTGACACTGTGCTGACACCTGAGGGTTCCTGCACTTAGAAATGCCAAAGTGAAAGTCCACTGTTTAAATTGTTTTTATAACTACTGCAGTTGATAACTAACTGCTAGACAACTCAGATTCCCCAAGCTCGATAGTTCGTGAAGTGTAAACAAGTATCAGCACTTGAGTTTGCCATACAATATTGGAGTAATTACCTCTAGTTTTAAGTGAACCTGTGCTCTGCCCATTCAGAACAAAGCAACAGGTTTGCCTAACACCCAAGCTGTACATACTCACTTTTAATTCTCTTTACCCAAAATGAAAAGCTTACAAAAAAGGGATAAGATCTCTTTCCCTACCCTCATGCGAGTGCTGGTGCTTGTCTCTTGGTGCTGTCACATGGGGGCAGAGAGAGAGATTCTTATGCATACCATTTTCTTTAGTAGTAGATATATCTCTTGGCTACGTTTGTGTGTGTATGTGTGTGTGTGTGTACGTGTGTGTGTGTACGTGTAATGTTAAAGCCTAACTCCATGTAAATTAACAAAATGCACCCACAGCACTGCAAGAGTTATTAGCTCATTATGTACTAGGAGATTGCAGAACAGGCTCTATCACTGATCTGATTCCTCACTCTAGCGCTGCAATCCTCCTCTACCCAAAGCTTCAGTCTATGGACAGAGAGTCCATGTTGTCACATACACCACGTTAACCTTGAATTGTAAGCTTAGGAGGCTGGAATGCACCCAGAGACAGAGCAGCTGCAGAAAACTGTTCACAGTGCTGGGAGGGGGGCCTGCTGGAGTGAGGAGTAAGGCAAGTATATTATCCCTGCTAAGTGAGCATGGGGCTACTGAGCATGGGGCTACTGCATATATGAATTTTGTAATTTTTCTGTTGTTTTATTCCACATGGGCAAAGCACAGCTCACATTAAGGTGCTGAAGAGCTGCAGTGCCACACTGAAATTATTTCCATGGTGGACTTAGTGGTAACTACTTTTTGACACCTAAGTAGGCTATGCATCTGAGATATGTCTACTTCTAATAACAACTGTTTTCACCATAAAGTGCAAAGATTTCTACAGCAGGTGCATTATCACAACAGCCAGGGGAATTAAATGCTGTACCACACAGATGTGGCTACATGCAGAATGATAAAAGTATGCACTTGTATCTTATAGCTTCTTCTCCTGGACACTGACTGCACACCTTTTAGCAAAGAAATATAAAATGGTTCTATACTGCACTGTCTGCAGGGCTCTTTGGACTGCCCTTGAAGTATCTTAGAAGCATTCTGTAGCCAGCAAAGTTAAAGAGTACAGGACACCTGCATTTATTGTATAAAGCAACTATTTCTTTAGTAAAAGATATGGAGCAAGTAAATGAAGTAAACACGCAAATTAATCTGTAGCCATTTACGGTTGAAAGTACAATAATACCAATGCATCTACTGCTTCTAGTAATGAAAGATTTCAAACAACCAACTGAATAATCAGAAAACATACCAGTAGGAAAATAAGCTTCTGCCTAATTTGGCTCTACTGTATGTTTGTGCAGGACTATGGTAGGGACATTATATTGCAAACTAATTTACAGTAAGGATAGAAGTAATTGACCTATCTACTATGTAAAAGCACTGTGGATTTTGCTGCACTATACTAAAAACAAAAAAAAACACTTACCGGCCATCGTCTGTGCCTTCCATAACTAGGAAGGAGTAATCCCTTCTCTGCCATTTACTGCTGGAATCAGTAAAGTAGACCTTTCTACCATCACTGGTCACAGTGAGGTCATTAACAAAGGACATTTTCTTTCCTTGAACTGGGATCCTGGAAGAAACCAGCCTCTCTACTTCACCTGTGCAAATAGAAAAATGGATCAGTTGATTTGTTCAGTGAAATCAACACTTCTTTAAAATACCTCAACATATGCAACTGATACTTTTGGAAGAAGAGTAAAGAGGGATTTTAAAAAGGTGCCATAATCACAACTTCAAAAATACGATAAAAAAATCAATAATTTTATCACAATGCAAAAAACATTAAAACAACACTTTACAGCATTGGACATAAACCACCACAAAATACCTATGTGGCTTGGAGATCTATGCAGTGAAATTCAGCTTTGAATGTTTTGCCAGAATTTTGACTTTCTCAGGAGACTTATGAAAACTGCAAAAGATGCCACTAGAAATGCCAAATAGTATTTATGAATACACCAGCAGTTATAGTAATAAAAATCATGATAGAAAAAGCAAAACAAAAAGCAATAATTCATGGGTCATTATGGTGCACAGAAGTGCTGAATAGTTGATAAGATGAACTCATACACTGAAAAAATAGGTTCTTGCACCGTTAGTCTCACCCTATCTCGCCAACTGTTGCACCCCGAGAATGACGTGACAAAAGCCGCACCTGCCACGTAGCGTTGTGCCCATAGTTCTAGCCCTAGTTATTCCTTTTGATGAATAGTGACTGTGGACCAACTGATCCTTTAAGGACTGCGATCTTCTGTAGGTAATCTCTGGGCGATTCAGCAGTAACCAGTTCAACTTGTGATTAAACAAGCACATTCAGTGCTCAAGTCCACAGTGTATAATCCATAGAGTTCACAAAGCCGGTGGATGGATGGCTGAAAAGGTGGATGAGAGAAAAACACACTCTATCCAGAAGCTCCTAGCCAGAGGATCTGGGTAATCCCTTACAAGCAAAGGAAACAAGAGCAGGGCGTCAGATTAGTGTATGGTTAGAAACACTTAAATACCATTTCTCACTTACATCTGAAAGACCTGTAGACCGCTCCAGGTGTCAGAGTGACAGTGCGATATACAGGTCTCAGCAATCTGGATGGACTGATAGGCCTGAAAGACACGAGCAGGGACCAGCTGCGAGATGGTAAAATCGGCGGCGTCTCTCTGCTCGAGCTTGAAAAAGGAGCCAGGACCTAGCAAGCGCGTTGAGGTCAGAAACCCCACCACCACAGCCTGTCACATTCTCCTGTCTACCTTCCGGTTAGTGCTGTGAGTGAGAGGAGAGACACCGCCGATTTACTATCCTGCAGCAGGTCCTTGCTTGTGCCCATCAGTCCATCCAGACTGCGGTGAGCTGTATATCGCATCACCACTCTGACACCAGGAGCAGTCTACAGATCTTTCAGATGTTAGTGAGAAATGGCATTTAAGTGTTGTTTTTAACCATACTAATCTGGCGCCATACTCTGTTTCCTTTGTGATCTCTGGGTGATTGCTGATATACTTAGACAATACATCATCCACTCGAAGTAAGTACCAATATTTCTGCATAATTTGACTAATCTGCCTTTGTGGGCCAGAATAACACGCAATTAATCTCATGTTTTGTGTACTGAGTTTGGTTCTCATACTGTGAATCAGACTGTCTCTATCCTGATTTTTGGCTTGATGATATGCCTTTTAAGTCACATTTTGCTGTACCCACATTTGACTAAGGGTCTTTGAAGTGCCTTAGCCTCAATTTCAAAATCTGCTACAGTTTCTTTTAAAAATGAAGGTACTGACTATATAGAATACTAGTGGACACCAAGGATGTCTGGTGAGAGCTAGTAGCATGTAAAATAGTATTCCAGAGGGCTTCCTATACAAAAGTACAGTGCATTGATAAAGTATTCATACCCCTTGAAATTTTCCAGATTTTGTCATGTTACAACCAAAAATGTAAATGTATTTTATTGGGATTTTACTGTATGTGATAGACCAACACAAAGTGGCACATAATTGGGAAGTGAAAGGAAAATTATAAATGGTTTTCAAAATTGTTTACAAATAAATATCTGAAAAGTGTAGCGTGCATTTGTAGTCAGCCTCCCTGATTAATGCTCTCCTTGCCCGGCCTGTCAGTTTAGGTGGACGGCCATGTCTTGGTAGGTTTGCAGTTGTGCCACACTCTTTCTATTTTTGGATGATGGATTGAACAGTACTCCATGAGATGTTCAAATCTTAAGATATTTTTTTATAACCTAACCCTGTTTTAAACTTCTCCACAACTTTATCCCTGTCTGTTGTGTTCCTTGGCCTTCATGATGCTGTTCTCTAACAAACCTCTGAGGGCTTCACAGAACAGCTGTATTTATACTTAAATTCACACAGGTGGTTCCAATAGATTTTAGTTAGGGGTATCAGAGTAAAGGGGGCTGAATACGAATGCAAGCCACACTTTTCAGATATTTATTTGTAAAAAAATATTTATCATTTTCCTTCCTTTTCACAATTATGTGCCAATTTGTGTTGGTCTATCACATAAAATACCAAAAAATACAATATATTTACGTTTTTGGTTGTAACAGGACAAAATGTGTAACATTTCAAGGTATGTGAATACTTTTTCAAGGCACTGTAGAGCCAAAACTACCATCAACGTTGACAAAAATCTATATATCGAGGAAACTAATCATTTGTTGGTGGCAATTCATTGTAAATTTTAGATCACAGCTGTTACATTTGAGTATCTCCTAAAAAGCATTCAACTCATCCCAAGAACCAGTCCAAATCAAGAAGACATCATCAATGAATGTGCTCCAAACTAACACCTTAATCAAACTATCCTGGAGATCCTCCCTGAAAAATAGGTCACGCTCCCACCGCCCCCCATGTACAGGTTTGCGTATGATGGGGCATACTTGGTCCCCATCGCAACTCCCTGCACCTGGAGGTAGTGGGAGTGCCCAAACAAAGATGTTGTTGGTCAAAATAATTTGGAGCAGATCAAGAATGAATTGATTATAGGGTTCAGCTGGAATTCCCCGGTCCGAAATTAAGTCCTCCACAATTCAAACCCCCATATCACAGGTGATTGAGTTGTAGCGGGCCCTTAAATCCACTGCCACCAACCATGCTCCTTCTGGGATAGAAATCCCATCTAGAGCTCTGAGTAGATCAATTGTATCCTGAGTAGAGGAAGTAAGTGTTCTTACATGGGGACGCAAGTAATCATATACCAGCTGACTAGCTGGTTCTGTCAGACAACTTATCCCTGAGACTAAGGTTCTTCCTGGGGGCTGGGTCATGTTTTTAATCGATCTTGGGTAAAGCACACAGGGTGGGAGTTCTTGGAGACCTCACATTTAGATATTCCCAAGTTTTTTTTTAATCTATAATACCACTATGGTATGCCCTGCCAATTAAGGTTCTATATTTACTCACCACCCGAACGACACATACATCAGATATTTCTCTATACCATTCACAGTTCCATCTAGGGGGGTGGATCTGTTTGCCCCTTCTGGCCTTCCCACTTCCCTGAGGTTCCATTCCTTTATTTCCACCCTGAGGGTTTCCTTTCCTTGGTCCTCATGAGATCCAGTGGTTTGACCTATTGTGCTTAGTTATACCAGCCCCAAGCTATGCTCTGGTAGTGGGAAGTTCCAAGATGGTACAGTTTGTGCCATCCCGTGTGCCTGTGACATCACTTCTGCTGGGTGGGCGCATGCACAATGGTGCCAGTGGGCGTCTGCATCCCACCGGTGATGTCAGACGCCGTTGGGATGGCAGGGGTTTTTAAAGCCCAACATGTGGAGGATGGGCCGTCGCAATTAGCTGCCATTGGGATGGTCTGTTAAGGAAGGTCTTCATTTACTGATGTACCAAGTAGGAACATTTACACTCCTTTATTTCATGGACTGGGACAAATCATTATTTGTAGGAGCTCATTACCTTAGCCCTTCTTTGTTTCTACTTTTTTTGAGTTTCATATAGAAGCAGGATTGATCCCCCTCTCTACTCAGTGGGCAAAAGTCCATGTCTTGTAGGGTGCCCCCCCCGGCAGGCACAAAGTGTAATCCAAGCTTTGCAGGAGTTCTAAAACACATCCAGCTTTAGGAGGGGTAATATAGTGAAATGGCCTATGTTCTTTTTCTAAAGCGGACACTTCCTAAATGTTGCTGTGTAGACACAAATAGGTTTTTTTTTTTACTTGACCATTCGCATGTGATACTATACGGGGTTTTCCCCTCCTATGGCCACTGATATTCATTTATAGTGAGACTAATGGTTCAAGAGCCTATTATTTCTAATAATCAGTTCATCTTTTCAACTATTCAGCATTTCTGCACACCCAGGTAAGATAACCCTCCTTAATGACCCATAGATTGCTTTGTATATTGTTTTTTCTGTCATTAATTCTTTTACTATATCTGCTGCTGTATTCACAAAGGGAAGTGGTGCCCTTGATCCTGTTACACTTAGGAATCTTTGTATCAATATGTAATATATATTTATAGAATACCTGTAACAGAATTCACTTTGAATATTCCCTGATAAGCATCTGCAACAAAAAGAGTTCCATTAGGGCCAGCTCTAAGTCCCAAAGGTCTTCCACAGTTTGGTTCATTGTCTCTTGTTCCTGAGAAAAAAAAAAAAAAAAACACACAAAAACAAGGTTTTATTAAATACTACTATAAACGCGAAGTATAACATTAGCAAGAAACCCCTGAATGTAGGTGGAAGTGTGATAATGTGCTTTAGCCAAGGGAATAACTGATATGTACTGGATTTCCCTTTACTCAACATTGGAAGTCTTGTTGTACTAAATTTTCTGAAAGTGGCATAGCAATCTTGCATCTTTAATGCATTATCTTATGTCAGTTTTTTTTTCACTCCACAGACATCCAATACTAATAAATAACATTCCGCTGCCTGAAATGTCTGAGACCACAGAACAGTTTGTATTCTTAAGCACACATTAAAGCTGAACTTCATTATTTTCTTTAACCACTGGCCCTCCAGAGGATTTACTCCCCTTCCTGACCAGGTCATTTTTTGTGTTACGGCGCTGTGTTACCTTAACTGACAATTGCGTGGTCATGCAACACTGCAGCCAAATGAAATTTACGTCCTGTTTTTCCCACAAAATATAGCTTTCTTTTGGTGGTATTTGATTGGCTGTGCATTATTTAATTTTTTTGCATTATAAAAATAAAAAAATAGACCAAGAATTTTGAGAAAAAAAAAAATATTTTTGACTTTTTGCTATTATGTCCAGTAAAAAAACAAAAATAATATGCAATCTTAATTTTAGGCCAAAATGTATTCTGCTACATGTCTTTGCTAAAAAAAAAATCCCAATACATGTAAATTAATTGGTTTATGTGAAAGTTATAGCGTTTAAAAATGCTGGCATATGTACTGGGATTTTTTAAATAATTTTTACTAGCAATGGCGTCAATCAGCAACTTATAGTGGGACAGCGGCGGGCATTCTGACACTGGGGGGAATTGACTTGGTGCCACTGACATCCCCAGTGACATCAATACAGTGATCAATGTTAATAAAAAGCACTGACACTGTACTAGTGGCACTAGGCAGGAAGGGGTTAACATGTGGGCCGATCAAAGGGTTAACTGTGTGCTGTTTTACGGTGTGCTGTGTGTGTGCTTCACTGTAAGCACATTGCAATGCATGGCTCTGCTATGCAAAGCCATGCATAGCAGCGTGCAGGAGCTGACAGGGGAGAGAACTGTATTGTTTACATACAGTTCTCTCCCTCTGTCGGTAATGCTCCTCGATCACCAGCGAGTAATCACTGGTTGAGACCTGGTGATTGACAGCCGAGGCTGCGAATAGCGGCCCACCCGGAAATGCAAAATCACGTATATATACACATGATTTTGCGCACCCGTGCTGCCCTGTATTACTTCTATAGGGCGGACGGGAAGCAGTTAAATACCCCTGCAGTACAATCGTTAAATGCTCATTACATCTAGGGGTAGAGGAATAAGTTGCAATGCTTACCTTACTCCTTGCTTCGGCAGGCTCCCTCCATGTGTGTGACTGGTCCCCCAAAGCCTCTTTTCCAAGGCAGACCATAAATTTATGCAATTTTCTTTCCTTCCACAATGGGTGGAAAGAAAGAAAACTGCTCAATTGCCCTATCAACACTAAGTGTTGATGGTGGAATTCCTCCCACAGAGCTATTGTGTTCTGCCGACAGGGAGATTTCCCTGCCAGCAGAACACAATGATTAGTGTTGCTGGCTATAGCCAGAAAAACCTGACAGGCTGGTTGTACAGAAGTCGATTGATAGTTCGACTTTTGTACAACCAGGGTGCCCATGCATGGATCAAAATTCCGCCAGTCCCTGCTGAACCAGTTGAATTTGGATCAATGTATGGCCAGTTTTAACCACTTCCAGACCGGACACTTTTACCCCGTTCCTGACCAGGGCAATTTTCAGCTTTTAGCGCTATCACACTTTGAATGACAATTGCGCGGTCATGCAACACTGTACCCAAATGAATTTTTTACCATTTTTTTTTTTAGATAGATAAAGCTTTATTTTGGTGGTATTTATTCACCACTGGGATTTGTATTTTTTTTGCTATGTAAATGAAATGTCCAAAAATTTTGAAAAAAGGTGTTTTTTTTTATAAAATTTTGCAAATAAATAATATTTCATCATAAATCTTAGCCAAAATTTATTCCGTTATCTTTTTAGTAAAAAAAAAAAAAAATCCAAATTAGTTTATAAGCAAAAATTATAATTTTTAAACATTTTTTTTACATTTTTATTTTATTTTTTTTATATTATTATTTTTTATTTTTATTTTTTTTTACATACTGTCACCCTAGCAGTACAGTGTCACCATGGTGACACTGTACTACTTGTGAGGGGTGATGAAGATTTTTTTTTTTTTTTTTACACTGATTGCTTTTACACCCATATAGGATGTAAAAGCAATCATTTCTCTTTCTCTCTGTGTGCATTCTTGCACTCATTGAAAAGAACTGAGTGAGCTGTGATTGGTCACAGCTTGTCACATGGTACAAGGCTTTTGTGAATAGCCTTGTACCATGTGACCTCTGTGATCATTCACAGATTTCACACGTAGTAAGCAATGATGTCAGAAGTGACATCTTGCTTACTACTTTGCATGTGATCACTGATTGGCCAATCAGTGATCACATGATCGGGACCTCGTACAGAGGTCCCGTCCGACGATCGGTGTTTCACTGAGTCCAGAGGACACAGCGGGCACCGGATCGCGGTGCTGCGCGCTCCCAGGGAGCGCGCACAAGCAGGGTGCGGGGAGGCCGTTTATAGACGGCCACCCGACCCTGCAGTGCCACCGTCCCGGCCGTTTATATACAACGGCCGGTCGGGAAGTGGTTAAGGCTCTCCAGCAGGCATTTACTCCAACAGTCCTGCATAGTATGTAAAGTCAGTAAGGGCCCTCCCACAACCCAGAGCAATGGAGAGAAGACCGCTGGACCAAGGAATAAGGTAATTAGCTTATCCCTCTACTCCCTAGACTCAATGAGCAGTTAAATACTGAAAGGGTATTTTTTTTTTTTACAAAATTCTGCAGTTCAGCCGTACCCCCTTTGCGGTCAATGATATAAGGCTTTTTCAGCAGCAGCAGGGGTAATTACACACACTACCAGCTGCTACAGCAGGAACATGTGTATAGTTGTTAAGTCGATCATCTCCTGATTGCTTCCACAGCCACTGGAATGTATTGCCCCTCACTATGTATTTTGGGCTTCAATGTCCCACCTGCAGGCCAGGGACAGAGCTAAAGATGGGTAAAGTGGAGGGAACTTGGCGAACATTTGTGAATGAACTCGGAAGCTACTTTTATATATCACTTCCCTGGTTCAGAGCTGTAATTCCCCGAATGCTGTGGCACAATATCCTCTTGATCAGCTTCATTGGGGCCCATAGGTGACCACTGATGTTTCCTTAAAGAGGACCTGTCTACAGCAATATTGCTATCACAAGGGGGATATTGCTCCCCTATACGATAGCAATAAAGTTAGTTATAAAAAGTTTAAACAAAATTCAAAAGAACAAAAAAAAAAAAAAAAAAAAAAAGAAAAACATATTTAGAGCCCCCCTGTATATACAGACACACGGCAGCAATCTTTGAAAAAATGTCTAGTGGGCTACACGTTACACATCACCTTGCATGCCAGAGGGAGAACAATACGTCTAGGGCCATCATTCATGGTCATCTCAAAACTGATCACCTGTAAAAGCCTTTAAGTCCATCACCTATGGAAAATTTGGGGCACTGAATGTTGTTGCGGTTTCACATGTGCAAGCATGACATGTTGGGTATCTACTCACTCAATGCAAACTCATCTTATATATTTTGCAACAAAAACTGGGTAATATATTGTGTTTGTGATTGATAAACAGTTGCATTAGTATCATGTGACATTAAAAAATGCATCCACCATCATTTTTTTCTCCAGGATCTCGATCTTCATAAAATATATGTTTGGGGGTTTTAATTAATCTCCAGGCCTAAAAAAGGCTTTTTACCAAATGTGATAAAAAAATGCAAAAACTGCTCTGCCAGCTAAAGGGTTAGAGCTCATGTCGGGGCAAAATAAAAACCGCATTTGCAGTACATCTTTGCAATGCATGCACATTTTCCCAGGTTTCATCCCTTTAAAAGGTCCCTGCAAGTACAGAAAAATACCTGTTGAAATGTCAAAAATACACTCAGCTCCCAATATCCTGTTGTGGACTGACAACACATGCCATTTGTTGTGCTGAAACAGTGAGGAATTATGTCAGCCCTGACCGGTTTTCTTTCGATAAACTGCTGAATCTCTCCCTTTTTCCTCATTTTCACAACAGAGAGATTCAAAGCTGTCTATTGTACCCTTGTTTCGTTCCTGTGTTATCTCGTGGAGTCCTTGTTCTTATCTTGAACTACAAGAACAATTACTTGATCAACAGGTATTTTTCTTCTTTAACTATGCCATTGTATGCATTTTAGTAAATATGTTTCATATGTCAGAACTCCAGGAATTAATCACTATTTAAAACTGTCTACCCTTGTGGATTTCTCTCTTTTATTTACAATTTACATTTTTATTGAGTGCCTTATTCAGGGCTTTTTCTCTCAAAGAAGAGGTGCAGGAACTCCCCCCTTCTGAAATATTTCTGGTCTCTGCACCCTACCTATCTCTGAGCACCATCTCTTAGTTCCACCCCCTTCCCACCTCCCAGGGCCGCTTCTCATAGAGAATACACAGCAACATATAATTTTGTGGTGCTAAGTAATTTGTATGGAATTTAATAACAAGAAAAGTAGTAAAATAGATTCCCTGCAGCCAGCAGCAGCAGACTCCCCCAGCTACAATGAACCTCAGAAACAAAATACCAACCCAGCAACAATAGACCACCAATAGCAACAGCAGCTCTCCTAGCAGCCAGCATCAATAGATTCTCCAGCAGTCAGCAACAATAGACCCCTCCCTCCACAGGAGATCCCTTCAAGCAACAATTGATCCCCCATCAGCAATAATAGACCACCATGCAAAATTATATCCCCTCCAGAGACAATAGATTCCCCAGCAGCCAGCACTAATAAACCTTCTGGCACACACCAA